AGCGTCAACAAGTACAGACTTTTTTTTTTTGTCTGCTCAATAAAAATTTGTTGGATGAATCTAGCTTCTAAATTCTACTATAAAACAAATTCTTTATCAGTAGTCCCAGATATACATATCTAGGCTAGTGTGGCTTTCTTCCTACAGGAAGAGGCTCCCTTTTGTAAAGTATATGCCTTTAGTTTATAATCAGTCATCTACATTCTCCAGGATGGGCTTGTGCCAAAACTGGAAGTTACAAAGGTAGGTGGAGTCTGAGTGGGCACTTTTGGCGATTTTTAATCCATGAATAGCTCCTATCAAATGAAAAGAGCAAGCCTACAACCTTCTGCTTGCTAGCAAGCTGTGCCAAAGTAGTGTGAGCCACACCCATTAACTGCTACAAACGCTTCTTTTTGTGAAGGAAAACTTAAGATGCTCCTTTGGAACTTGCTAGCTTGGAAGTGGGGTTGGGGAGCCGCCGCATTGCAGCACATTATCTAAAGGTTTCACTTGCAGAGGGTCCTCTTCGGACCCCAACGTATCCCTGGCGGGCCCTTTCGGGTACTGCTTTTGAGTTCTTTCCTGGCCTTGAGACCAGGTCAGGAAACCTTTCTTGATAAGTTCGGGAAAACCAAACGTGCTCTGGAAAGTGGAGGGCCTGTTTTTGGAGAGAGAGGGCTGAGACAAAGCCCATTCAGCGATCTGCTCAACATCTCCCCAGTCTTCTTCCCCGGGACTGGTACTTTACTCATTCTTACTCCCCAACCCATTCTGTAAATATCTGCTGTGAAGACAGTGTAGGTATTTCCAGGAAAAAAAAAGACTACGGCATAAAATTTGGTGCTTTGCTGTCTGGATTTCCCAGCGATGGAGTTTTCGGGCCCCTCCTTTCGACCAGGCCCAACCTTAAGCTCCGGCAGTCCGAACCTGCTCGCTTCTCAGGCCCGCGCGCCCCTGGGGCGCTACCTCCGCTCCGCTCACTGCCGCGCACACGCCCTCCGCGGGCTCTCCGGTGACCTTCCCCGCCACCCCGCCACCCCCGCCCTTCCAGCTCTTTCCGCTTCCTTTTTCGCGCCTGCGCGGACTGAATTGTTTTGGCTTTCCGGTGGGATCCTGCAAAGAAAAAGGGCGGGGGAAGCTAGAGTAAGGGCGGGGGACAGGGATCTCGAGAACCCGGGAAACTGCAAAACTCCCACTTTTGCCGACTGGCGCGCTCAAGCGGTACACTCAAGCGGCGGGAAGGGAAGCCTGGCGAGAGGCGGGTGCGCCCCGTGCTAGGCAACGGTCCACGCCCGCGCCTTCCGGGCCCGGCTGACGGGGCCGCGAAAGGGGCGAGCGCGCGCGGTGGGGCGGGGCGGGAGCGGGGAGCCGGGCGTCTCGCGGGTCCCGGGGCTGACGAGGCGGCGCGGCTCCTGGGGGAGGAGTCTGGCACTGGTCAGGCCCTGAGGAGAGTGCCGCGGCGCCCGCACAGGACGCTGCTTTCCGCGCGGGACGGACCTACCGAGGGAGGGCTCGAGGGAAAACCGGAAGGAAGAGGAGACGGCGGCGCCAGCCTTCCTCGGCGAGAGGCGGAGGCGAGACCCCGGCTGGCGGCGGCGGGGGGGCACGCCCCCGCTCCCGAGCCCGAGGGGCCCAGTGCCTTCAAGGCGCCGGTCGGACCAGATCCTACCCCGTGGGACCGAGGGACACGGGTGAGTAGGCGTCGCCAGCGCCGGGCGGCAGGGAAGGCGCGGGCGGGGGAGTCTGCGGCGACCTGTGGAGGAATTGGGGAGGAGGGTGGTGGAGGGAGAGGCTCGGCCCTTTGTGGCCCGCCGAGCGTGGGGCTGGGGGCGGCGGCGGCATCTTTCAAACCCAAGACGCTTCCGCTGCAGGCGGGGGAGGGGCTCAGGCAGTCGGCACCGCCCTCTGCGGCCGGACTCGCGGCGGGTTCGCGGGGAAGGGGCTACCGGGAGCGCCGCTCGCGGGGGCGTTTCCGGCTCCTGCCCTAGGGCGCCTCCGCGGCGGCGGCCCAGGAATCGGCGTCCTGGCGCCCGGTTCTGCGAAAATGTAGCTGCTGCTCTTCAACGACTCGCTACTTTTTCGCGAGATAGTGGGTCGGAGAAGGGCAAGCTCTTATTATTTTGTTAACACCTCTGACATTACCAAGAGATGTTTAGATTAAGAGACGCTCCATTATGGTCTGTTACCAACTTAAGACAACAGGACCTGCCCTTTGAAACGGAAAATTGTGTACGTGTTTACTTTAGACTGAAATCGTTAACTTATTTGAACTCGACCACCTCGCTCTCCCTGTGAATTGAGAAACTGTGGAATAGAAGAACATACCTTAGTTTGATGTGGGGTACTTATTTTGACTTAATGTCTTATTTCTGGTTTAGCAGTCTAAGATCTCTTTTTACAGCACCCTCAACCAAAGGGAGAGGAATATTCACTCTACAGGCCACATACAGATCTCTGTAGAGATTCGTGAGAAATGCCGCTCGCGGGATGACTTCAAATGAAAATAGAAAAACAATCTCAGGTGTAAAATTAACTTTAAAGGGGGATGTTTGTGTGAAATATCTATTTTCTGTATCAGCGTTATGAAACCGTAGGGGACAGGACTGATCACGTGTTGTTTATACATGAATTTGTACGTTTGGCTCACTGAGCATTCAAGCATTCAAAAACAAAATCCTATCAGCAGTGTGGTCTGACCAAAATGATATTTTCTTTCATTGAGGGAGCGAATTAACGGGATAGGGTCCCCCCCGCCCCGTGCTTCTGTATTTTGGCTGATTTTGAGTACTGCAGTATGGACTTAAAATGTGTTACAGTTGTGAATGGCTTATTTTTGTTAACCTTTAGTAAGGACTTTTTTCTGATCTAAAGTAAATTGAAAAGTCAAACCACCCAGTTGTTTTCCAATCATGATGATGTGGAATTTTGCTGTTTTTTCTGTCTTGCTAACTATATTTATTTCTTCACTTTGATCTTTGGTTGGTCGAGTGTTTATTGAAGCCTTTTGAGATTGGACCCTGAAATTCTCCAGGGCTGTTGTCTGTCAGTAACTCTGGAGGACTGCGATATATCTATTGAGCATGCTGTATAGTCCGCATGTTTCTGCAGTGTTGTTTTCTCTCCACACAGTTTTGTGGGAGGAGTTTATTAATACTATAACTTTTCTCTTTTTCTCCCGTAGGAAGCATTACCGTAAAATACGTTAACTTTACAGGGCCTGTAAGGAGCTGGGAGGGAATAGGTGTCATAGTACTGCTTAAACTCGACCTTTTTTTCCATATTTTTTTTTTCTCCTGGTGAGTGAAAATATTGAGCTATTTTATAAGATCCAAACATTGAATATGTTAAGGTGGATGGTAAAGTCCTGGAAACTTAAATGCAGTCTTAAAAGCCAAAAGATACTTTCTTGGTTTTTCCAAAGATTTTACAAATTTATTTAGGTAAGAGTGTGTGGGGGGGTGGGGGGTGGGGTGTGTGTGTGTGTGTGTGGGGTGTGTGTGTGTGTGTTTTCTTGCTCATTCCTGAGACAAGTGGGGCCAGGAAAAAGGATTGGTCCTGCTATCATGAAATATATGAATGAAAATTTCAAAAGCCTTTATTATGTTTCTTAGTTTTGTGGAGTTTGGATAACTCAGACTGTTAGAACTGAGAGGTTGGTTTCAAGTAACTTTTTAGGTATATGAAAATTACTTTGGATTCTCTTGTCAGGAATTTGTAACATGGAGATTCTTTTGTATGTGAAGAAGGTATTATTACAGGATGTTTAGTGAAAGTGATGATCATTCAGTAAAATTTTTTTTTAAACCTTAACTTTTCTTTCTCTACCACACTCGCATACTTCTGACAAGTGGTGACGTGCTAGCTTCCATGAGTAGGCATTGGCAATCTAATAAGTATTCCTTCGATTACCCTCAGGTTTTTGGTTTTTTTTTTTTTTTTTTCCGAGAAAGTTTAGTCATAATCATTGCTAAGTGTCTATTTCCTTAATAACCTCATGAGTATGTTTAGATATCTGGGAAATATTTTCTACTATTGTGATTAAAGAAATCACTTGGTGGAAAATGAAGTACTGGTGAAGTTACGGTCAATTTTGCATTACCCCACCTTTCGCTTCCTTTCTTAATAAGTCACTGTGGAGAGCTGAGGAAAAAAGAAAAGTGATATCCAAAATAAAAGGACATACTACACTGATATAATTATTCTATCACAGATGGCATGTCCGTTATGTACTACTTTAATTTTTTAAAAGTGTGATAACTTATTAATCAAAATGTGGTACAGAAGCTTATAATTGTGACCTGGATTTACTTAAGAGTACTGAGCATCATTGTTTAATGGAGCAAGTAGTCTGTAGTATGATTGGAGATGGGAAACACACAAATTCCTACCTAAGGTCTGAATTTGACTAGAGTAGAGGAACCGATACTGAATTTTATCAGATTTTATATCTAAAGGCAAGTTGTGTGTTCTTTAATTGATATTTGTCACAACTCTGGAAAATTCTGTTTGTGTAGTGGTTGACAATCAAAGGACCAAATGATCTTTTCCAAACATTCTCAATTGTCGGAATTGTTTCCATAACTTGAAAGCATACTCTTTCTTTCTTTTTTTGTTGTTGTAGTTTAAATGAAGTTTACATTTCAAGTTGGTCTCCCATACAAAAATTTATACATACATTGTTATGTGACCCTAATTGCTCTCCCCATACTGTGACAGCACACTCCTCCTTTCCACCCCGGATTCTTCATGTCCATTCAACCAGCTCCTAACCCTCTCTGCCTTCCCATCTCACTTCCAGACAGAAGCTGCCTGTTTAGTCTCTTGTATCTACTTGAGCTACAAGGCACACGCCTTACGAGTATAACTTTATGTCCCACAGTCCAGTCCAATCCCTGTCTGAAGAGTTGGCCTTGGAAATTGTTTTACTTCTGGGCTGATAGAGAATCCGGGGGCCATGCTTTCCAGGGTTCCTCCAGTCTCAGTCAAACCGTTAAGTCTGGTCGTCTTACTAGAATTTGAGTTCTGCACCCCACCTTTCTCCTGCTCCATCAGAGACTGTATTGTGTTCTCTGTCAGGGTGGTCATTGGTGGTAGCCAGGCACCATCTAGTTCTTCTGGTCTCAGGAAAGCATACTCTTTCTGCCAGCAGTATTTTGTCTTCCCTAAGAAGAGACCTCCCTCCTCTTTGAATTGAAGAAAGTCTAGTTTTATGACTTGGGCCTTCCTGGCTCTCATTTAGTTTCTCTGCATTGACATCAGCCTTTTCAACATTAGTCTCTGTTGAGCTAGTTTGTTTCATGATTTTTACTACCAAAGTAGTTTCTGAAAACTTTGAATGAATTTCTCTATCTAAAATACCATTCACCAAGTGCGAAAAAGAGAGCTTTAGAGTGTTGAGACTATATAATTGGTATATGTGCTGTCAAAGTGAGCACGAGACTATATAATTGGGATCGCTAGATCTGATATAGTTGTGGGGATTCAGGAGTTGGTAAAGTACTACAAAAACTTGACCAGTGAGTGCATTATAAAAATAATCACAAATATTTATGTAGGGCTCAGTTCTAAACTCTTTATGAAACTTCATTTAATCCTTCAACAATCCATTGAGAAGACTTATATTTTTTATTCGTCCGTTTTACAGATGAAACTGAGATAACTTAGAAAAGGTTACACAACTAATGAGTTGTAGAGCTGGGCTTTCAATCCAGCAGTTGTTGCCCAGTCTATGCTTTTAATTTTTTTGGCAGCACAATATCCAGAATGTCTTGCATTCTTGCCAACAATAATTTGCGGTGTTCCATATAGACTTTTTTAGCACTCCCTAGGTTACTAATACATCATTTGAAAGCTCTTCATACAGATGAATGACCTGTAACCCATTCCCCTTCCTGGAGGGAGACCTCTCTATAATGGTTTCATCCCTACCATATATAGTCACTTCTTGTTATTCGCAGTCGTTGTGTTCTATAAAGTCACCATGAATACTGAATTCGCGAATACTGGGCCACTGATCCTAGGGGAAAGCCAGGGTTAGCTTCCTGCAAGCCTCTGGTCACGTTTTCGTCAGCTAATCAATACATAACTTTGTTTTATGAGCTTCTGTTTAAAGACACTATTTGACGTATGCTGTTTATTTATTAAGGAACCCTGGTGGCTCAGTGGTTTAGCACCAAAAGGTCAGCAGTTCAAACCCACCAGCAGCTTGCAAGAGAAAGATGTGGCAGTCTGCTTCTGTAAACATTACAACCTTGGAAACTTTATGGGGCAATTCTTTTCTGCCCTATAGGGTCACTGTGAGTTGGAATCGACTCAACGGCAACAGGTTTTTGGGTTTTGTTGATTTATTAACTTTGAACTCTTGGCCAACAGCACTATAACTCATGCCTGATGTGTATTTTCTCTGTAAGACACATCACAGCCTTCTTGTGCCCAGGAAACTAGATAGCACTTCAGTACTACCCTTGGTGGCCATCGTAAACAGCAAAATCAACAAAAAACACAAAAATGTAAAAAATGTGGCACTAAATGGACTGCGAAAAAGATACTTGTTTACAGCATGAGAGCTGAAACAAGCGGCCTTGTTCAGCCTCAGCCGGGACCGTGTTCTGCAGGTGACTCAAATTTTTCACTCCTCTTGGCATGTCGGTAAATGACCACGAAAGCACTGAGAATATTGATTTGGGGGTTACTAATAAATTTTAGTCAGTAGACTAGTTCGTAAATGTAGTATTTCTGAATAATGAGGACTGATTGAAATTTCTCTGTAGGCCGTGTTCATAACTTCACCATCTTTTTTTTTTTTCTTTTGCTGTCTTTTCTATACACAGCTCAGTTAATTGCCGATGAGTCTCATGTTCGCATTCAGAGATTACTTATTCATTCTTTCCCTGACCCTTCAAATCTTGTCTGGTTAACACTGAAAAAGTTTGCTCCTGCTTCTGTTTGTGTTTCTGTAGCTACTCAGTGAAAGAGTACTGCAGATGACACACCTGTGGGAATGAAAACTTTAAGTTTCAAAGTGAAACCAGACCCCCCCACCAAAAAACAAACAAGAAAACACTTCCGTCAACTTCTGGAATCTTTAGAAGTTATTTGGAATTATTAAAATTTCAACAAGACTTTCTAACTGTTTTATACCTTTCTCTAATCAATGTTGGGTCCTGTTTTTTTTATAATACCAATATTCAGAATCTATAAAACAAGAAGTTATTGTTACTGGGTTTTTATTTACAAGTATTACGGTAATACTTTGTGTAAATTTTCTTGGCAGGTATACTTTCAGGTATGTTTTGGCTTTTGAGACCTAAGGACTTAAACACCTTTTTATGCTGTTATTTTGTAGAAGAGTAAAACAACCACCTTAAACTTCTGAAATACAAATAACTTGAAAGTTGGAACTTATGCATTTCTTACTTTGTGATGAAATTGAAAAATAAGGTTAGCTCTACAGATATTTACTTTATATAGTTATTAATTATTTAAGGGAAGAAAGATAATTTTCTATAAGAGGTGTTTCATATTTTTAAAATAATGTATTTTTGGTGAAAGATGTTTCAGATTTTTAAGTAGAATTGTATATGTCTATGGATTGTTTAATCTTAATGAACATTTAATAACAATGCTTGTTTTGAAACTTTTGTGCGGTGGAACTCACTCAGTAGAACCTTGGAGACATGGTTGTCCTAGAGGAAACGTATTAAAAGCAAAATTTCTGTACTTCTTTTTTTCTCTCAATCACCGCAATTAGTTTATACATTTTCTACTTTTATAAGACTAGAATTAAAGTAAGATTGGCTTTGCCAACTAATTATTTGCAGAAAGTCAGTGGGTAGAGAATAAAGAGTCTCACTGTATAGCACTTTAATGTTTGCTGCTACTTTTATTTGGAGTTACTCTTTTTGCTATGCCATCAAACCAGTCAAGAACGTTCAGTTGAGCTCATCACTTAGAAAAAAGGCCTAAGGAGTAAGAATATCCAGTTTTTATGTCAAAGTACATTGCATTTTACTAGATTCTGAATTTCGTTATGTGTGTCTGCATGACCCCCATTTAATTCTTACAGTAGCTGGCTTTTTTTTTTTTTTTTTTTTTTTGGTACTGTAGAATATGTTCTAATTACCAGCTTTAGCATGTAAGACTTTTCTATTAATCTAAACTATTTTGTTGTCAGTTGCGGTTGAGTTGTTTTCTGACTCATGGCGACCCCATGTGTGTCAGGGTAGAACTGTGCTCTATAGGGTTTTCAAGGCTGTGACTTTTCAGAAGCAGATCGCCAGGCCTGTCTTCCAAGACACCTCTGGGTTGGTTCAAACCACCAACCTTTTGGCTAGTGTCTAACACTGAACTGTTTGCACCAAGCAGGGACTCCTTGATCTAAACTAGCAGGCATTTTTTTACTGTGGAATATGTTCTGTATAACACTTCGCTATTAATTTTGAAGCTCTTGGTACCAGGAATTATAGCATGTAACAGTGATTTCCCCAATCTGTGGTCCTTGGTCCATCTAGGGAATCCGTGTGTCCACTAAGTGTCTTTACACCAGCATTGTCTTATAAACGTCGTCTGTTTTTAAACGTGTGTACATATTGTTGTAGTTGATCAAATAGTAATTTTAGTGCTTTTGAATCTATTACGGCTTTTTTTTTTCATTGTGAATTTTTTTCAAAAGATTACCTTGGGGAGGGATGTCTTTGTTTTTTTATCTTAATGAAGGGTACTTGTACGTATGTTTGTAAACTACATGCTACTAAATCTTTAGATAAAAAGTGTTTCAGAAGTCCACAGAACTAGGAGCAGTTGGGGGAAGCAGTTGTATGATTGGGGAAGAGATGTTAGAATATTTCAGGTGAGAAGTGAAGTGGGATACACAGATGCCAACACACACACACAGGTTATATTAACTAAGAATTATATTTAATCCAACGCTCAAGAACCTAAAGTTTGTGCTTTTTCATCACCGTTGTGATCTGAAGGGGAAACATTCTTCTAGCAAAATAAACGAGGTATCTATTTTAGTCACTGACTCTTAATACTTGATCAAGAAGAAGTCTAAAATGGGGTTTGGTACATGTAACCTTTGGTCTGCTTTTGTAAATAAAGTTTTATTAGGATATCCATTTTTTTATATACTGTTAGTGATTGTTTTTAGGTACTACAGCAGAGTTGAGTGGTTGAGACAGAGACCTTGTGACGCACAAAGCCTAAAATTTACTGTCTAGCTACAGAAAAAGTTTGTTGACCCCTGATCTAGAAGGACCACGGTGGAACATGAAAAGTTGTCTTTGTGTTGAGAAGGGAAAGTAGTATACTTTTTAGAAGTTTATTTTTTAAAAAAATAGATGATAATTGCATATGTTAATAAAATTCAAAAGTCTTTCCTTCCTCTCCAGTGTTAACCACTGTTAGTGAGGCCAAGTACCAACTGCCTTTCATAATTTTGCCTCTACTACAGTTTTTCTTATGGTAAAGAGTAAAATTTCTTGCATTCATGTCTCTATCAAAAATTTGGGAATGAAAGATCAAGATGGTTAGATTTCAAGAAAAATGTTTCTTCACTCATGCTTGCTTCACTCATTTGCTTGGCCTCTTTTGGCTTTTGAGATTGTCTAAAATAATTGGTTTTAAAAACACCATTGAATGTTTTTAAATGATAGTCGTATTTTTGGTCCCAGTCTTTAGTAAGAGTAAATGCACCAGGTATCTCGGAGCTCTAGTGGTTGGCAGCCCTCAATTTGAGTAGAGTACAACTGGCCCTTAGTAAATACCCAATAGAAATTTGTTGAATTAAATATAGGTAGCCGTTAATTTATAATAGAAAATTAAGTAAACAGTTTCCTTGCTTGAGAATTGCTCAGTCTAAGGGTGCTAGATTCTGTAGCTACCAAGACGTATAACTGATTTTGAAGCTAATTTTGTGTGTAATACAGAATGATATATAAAATTATAATTATTGGAAAGGGGAAATTTATAAAGTGTATCAAATCACTTAGTAATTAAATAACAGTACAAATTTCATGAAACTTTTTAGTGTACTTAGGGATATTATTGATTTACCCAAGTTTTGTTTTTAGGAGAGAAGGATTCTTATTACAGAAAATGTTCATGTTATGGCCATTTGAAGGTTGTTGGTTGATCGTCTTAAAGAACTTTACAACTTTTTACATTTTTGGTTACTACATTTTAAAGTCTGTGTTCCCAGAGAAGTGGGGTACTTAATTTTATTTTTAATTGTACTAAATAAAGATCTGTTTAAATTATTAAGTTTATTTATTTAGTACAATATCTGAATGACTGACTTTTATTGCCTATTTTAGTGTTAAGGGAATTTTTATTTACAGTATTTCACGATCAGGAAAATATACCCTGGATTACAAGGAAGGGGTGAGAAATAAGGGTGTCATAAAAGCAGTGACTATGGAGATTACATAAAGTTGGCCCACTGTAATTTTCTGAAAGCATACTTCAAAATACAGTTGCTTGCATATAATTTTAAAAAATCAAATCTAGTTAAAACCCAGACAACAAATTAAATGGGGCCTAAAAAAATCATTGTAAAAAATCGGGTCATATTATTATAAGGTTAATGAAATGAACAGAGTGAGCCTATACAGCTAGTCTGCAAGGAATTCTGGGGTCCAGCAGTATGAACGAAATCCATCCTGGCTGCCAGTTGCTGTCACTTGGTTTAAATATGAATGGGAACAATTTTGAGTCCTGCTGCTGGAGTTGATACTTTGGTTTATTAATGCATGCATGCATTTCTGTAAAATAACTTTTTACAAGTAAAATCGATGGATTAGAAGATACAAGGCACATACTGTGGAAATATTTGTTTTATTAAGTCATTTGCCAGCAAAACCTGACTTGAAGTGACATGAGACTATATATAGTCTACTTTTCCACACTGTTCATAATTCCTGCAGCAAAGACATTAATAGGTTCGATTATGGATTTCTGCCCCAGATTCCTTGAGAGTGTTTTGTAATATACATGGATCGTATTACTCTATAAAATCTGAAAAATTCTAAATTCCAGAACATAAATCGTGTCCCAACAGTTTTGAATAAGGGAATGTAGGGATGTGTCAACTTACACTCCTGTTAATAATATGTAAGAATGCTTGTTTCCCACACCCTTAGTATTACTGGGCCTTGCTGCATTATTACTATGTGAAAATAGCCAGTAATTTTAGTATCCTTAGGTGTTGTAGCCCTGGTGGTGGAGTGGTTAAGAGATTAACTGCTAACCAAAAGGTTGGCAGTTGGAATTCACCAGCCCCTCCTTGGAAACCCTATAGGGCAGTTCTACTCTGTCCTATAGGGTCGCTATGAGTCGGGATTGACTTGATGGCAACGGGTTTTTTTTTTTTTTAAGGTATTACTAGCCTTAGAGATTGTAGTAATAGAACTTAGATTTATAGTATAACTTTCAGATCTGGAAGAGCAGAGTTATTACCTTAAATGACCTAAAGTCTCGCTCTGCCTTTGCACCTGTTTTAGTTACTTACATAGTTAACTTGGCTGGAAACTTGACAGCCTATATCAAGTTAGCAGTTCATGTAGTAGTATAATTTGGCAGGAAGTACGATGTGATCTTCTTGACATAATGGAAGGTATTTTGTGAGGAAAAACATATTGGTTTTAATGATTTATGAATTCCATGTCAAAAGCACTTTTTGATTATGGGAATTAAGAATCATCTAATTAGAAGAGGTGATGGTTTGCATGGCTAACATATTAGAAGCATTCTGTTTGGATTTCCCCCTCTCTTTTCCTGAGTTGTAATTCTATACTGATTTCCAAATAACATTTTAAAGTAAACTTTAATTCAGCTGGAATATCTTCTTTTTCCCCTAAATTTTATATGTTGTTGAGAATATATACAGCAAAACATACACCAGTTCAACAGTTTCTACATGTACAATTTACTGACATTGATTACATCTGTCAAGTTATGCAACCATTCTTACTCTCCTTTTCTGAGTTGTTTCTTCCTCATTAACATAAATTCACTGCTTCCTAAGGTTCGTATCTAATCTTTTGAGTTGCTGTTGTCAGTTTGATGCCATACAAATAGTTCTTACAGGCATAATGCTCAGTGCAGACCTTTTTTACTAGTTCAGCTAAACCGTTGTTCAGTTTTAAGATAACTTCAGGGGATAGTTTTGGTTTAAGGTTTAAAGATTATCTTAGGGCAGTAGTTTCAGGGGTTCATCCAGGCTCCATGCCTCTAGAAAGTCTGGAGTCCATGAGAATTTTAAATTCTGTTCTGCATTTTCCCCCTTTGAATCAGGATTCTTCTATAGAATCTTTAATCAAAATGTTCAGTAACGGTAGTTGGGCACCATCCAGTGCTTCTCATCTCATGGCAAAGGAGGCAATTAGCCACACCTTCCTTATACTCCTCCTATTCCTGACTCTGCTTCCTTTGTTGCTTCAGGTGAATAGAGACCAACTGTTGTGCCTTGGATGGCTGCTTGCAAGCGTTTAAGACTCTAGGCACTATGTAACAAACTAGGAGGTAAAACAGAAGTACTAAACACTTACTAGACCAACTAACTGTGATGTCCCATGAAACTATGACCCTAAACCTCTAAACGGAGGAACCAAATCCCATGAGGTGTTTGTACGTAAGCAGCCTCAACAGCTACTCTTTTTTTTGTGCATGTCCTTGTTGTAAATACACCTGTGACACAGCTTTTGCCAGTTCAACTTTTTATAAGTGTACGACTTACTGACAGCAATTACAATAATCGGCTGTGCAACCCTACCCTTAATGTGATTTTTCTCTCACCATTAACTTCCCTTTTTCCCCTTCCTCCTGCCCCTAGTAACCACTCATAAGCTTTTGTCTCTGTACATTTGCCCTTTTTTGTCTTTCTATATAAATGAGTTCATACAATATTTTTTTGTGATTGGCTTATTTTGCTCAGCATAATGTCTTCAACATCCATACCATAGCATGTATCAAGACTTCATTTCTCCTACTGGCTGAGTAGTATTCCATTGTATGTAGGTACCACATTTTGCTTATCTATTCATCTGTTGATGGGCGTTTAGGTTGTTTGGAATGTCTTTTGATTAATGATATGCAGTATGGCTAAAATGAAACCTAGGTTTTCTTTCCGAGTGGTTAGCTAGTTGTTCCAACCTTATTTGTTCAAGAAAGTCATTCTTCCCAGTATGAAATGTCATGTTTTCATTTATCATCTCAAATTTTTAATATATGTTTAGATTTATTGTAGATTTGTAATACATTTTAGTATTTGGTAGAGTCATGAGGAAAACTTGCCTGTTTCCCCCAAAAAAAAGTCGACACTTTTTGTGCCATTCTTCCTGATGAATTCCACTGCTAGTGGGATTTAGATTGGATTTCCATTAAATTTGTATGTAAATTTTGGAGAATATTCATAATTTGTATAATATGGAGGCTTGCCACTTAATTATGTTTTATGTTTTTCAGTGAAATTGTATGCTTGTATTCATAAAGATCCTAGGAAGAAACCATTGTGCAAAGAGTTATGTTACATATACTTCCCTTAACAGGATTGAGCACCAAATTAAACAGAAATATAGCTTATAATTTGGAAATAAGTAATTTTAATCTATTTATCATATAGTTTAAGTAATTTAAATTGATAAACATATGTATTTATTTAAAATGTAGCTACAAAATGAGAATTCCATGGAGACGAGAAGGCCACCCCCTTAGATTATAGTCATGTGCTGCTACTAAACAGTTAACTAGGAGATCTGGTTTTGCTGGTAACTTAAACTCTATTTTTAAAGGACTTTTAAAATGTATGGTTGTTTATGTGCTCGCTATTTTCTGGGATGTTTATATTTTGTATAGAAGGCAAAAGGTTTCCTTAAATCTACAAATGTTAATTTTCTGCACTCTATATTTTAAATATAGAAGAGTGTAATAATGTTTATTTTCTTGTTTCATTTTTATGATAATGTCTGAAGTTGAACTTCAAATAAATACAATTTATATTTAAGACTGCTATTTTAAACACTATATTCTAAAAATGTACTGGCCTAGATACTCTAACTGAACTTTTTTTTTCTTTTTAGTTACTCCAGAGGATCCACTGAACATAGGATGTTGCCACAAAATCTACCTCGTGTGTTACTCTCTTTTCCTCATGAGCTTCACACTTGTAAATTTGAACAGGATGTCTGCAGATCGTGTTGAAGAACTTTGAAGAACGTAATTAACACGGCATGACCTAGGAGTGATTCTAAGCCTATATAATAAGATACTGATTCATTAGTGAATGTGTCAGTCTTGGTTCTGAATGCTGCAGATAACAGCACATACAGTTTCTCCTTTCTTTAGTTCCAAAGCATTCGCTTGACCTTCCAACAGTAAGACTGACTTTTCTAATCTGTTCCGGGAGATATTAATGGAATACAGTCATGTCCACTCAAGACGAGAGGCAGATCAATACTGAATATGCTGTGTCCTTGTTGGAACAGTTGAAACTGTTTTATGAACAGCAGCTGTTTACTGACATAGTGTTAATTGTTGAGGGCACCGAATTCCCTTGTCATAAGATGGTTCTTGCAACATGTAGCTCTTATTTCAGGTAAGTCCTTTAATATTGATTAGTTTATAAATGCAGAATATTAGCTTATTTTAATAGGAATTCTTAAGAAAATTTAAATTTTATTTAAATTTAAAAAGATCTTAATGTTTTCCTTAGATTTTATATTCAGATGATACAGTACTTGCTAAATTCTGTTATTGCATGTCTAAGTATGGACTAGATAAAAATTGTTAGAAAAATGTAAATATGAGAAATTTGTTAAAATTTCAAAGTTGGGGAGGCAGACAGATTGAGGATAGTATTTTCCCATTGAAAGAAGAAGAAAAATTGAAAAATTCACTCAAAATTTTAAAATAACTACCTTTAGAAGACAGTGGTCTTTGTTTATAAGCTTAAGAATTACAGTAGGCTTACTAATAATTTTAAGAGGCTAATTGGTGCTGTTTATACATGTTAAGGACTTTTATTTGCTTTGCAAAAATGTATTTCTTTTTCTCTTGGTTACTACTGTTACTACTATCATTTGTGATCTCTTTTTAGCCTTACCAGACTCTTTGCCAGATATAAATATTCAGTAATCACATTGTTGGTGTTCTGTATGCCTCAGAACTTTGAAGTTGATTTAGTTATTTGTTTTTTTGATAATTACAAATCAACAAAGCTTAACTTTTCATTTCTGTGATCTTTTTGTAACTCGTATTTATCTTTTTAAAGCACATCTCTCTTTATTATAAGTTTTGTGAGGTGAATAGAAAACTAAGGCTTAGAAATTTTGGTATTTGTTCTCTACTCTTAGATTGAATTTTTACTTAATATTTGAAAGGGTGAATAAGGATTAATTAAATATGGACTGTTATATTCCAACTACAAATATTAGCAGCCATAAATGGAGACCAGCAATGAAAATTAGTTTCTACTGCTGTTTAGTGGCAGCTGTAGACAGGGAAGGTTTAATCTGATCTTTCAAGGGTAATTTACATACAGTTATAGACACTTCACATTCCTCAGCGTACACATCTCATGATGATTACAGATGCTAAGGCTTCAAATGCTAGTTGCCTTCGTTGTGCTGCAGTTTTTGTTTTAGGTTAAGCTGTGGATTTTTTGTGTAATTTCAGACTCTAGTTTTCTTGTCTGAGTCAGCCTATTTGCAAACAGTGGTTCCAAAATCTGGTTGATCATCAGAATCCTCTTGGATGCTTTTACAAATTAGAGGTTCTTGGAATTGAAACCTAGAAATTTGATTCAACGAGTTTTGGGTTAGGGAATCAGGATCTTTATATTTGAAAGCTTACCAAATGAGTGGGAAATGGAGAGTTACTATTTAAGGGGTACTGGGCTTCTGTTTAAGATGATGAAAAACATTTGAAAATTGGTGGTGGTGCTGGTTGCACAACATGGGCAATGTAATTAATGTCACTGAATTGTGCACTCAAAAATGGTTAAAATAGCAAGTTACGTATTTTGTTATGTATTTTACCACAATACAATTTAAAAAAAGAAAAAGCTTCCCAAATGATTGATGAATTTTTTTGAGACTTAGGCGGTGTTAGAAATTCAAAGTTTCAGATTTAGTCAGTACTAAATCAGTTTCTCCCTTTTCACTGGTCATTAATTGTAAATTTATCACCCATCATTGGAAAGAGCCTTATGCCTTAGTTATGGATTTTCAGACCGACATTTGTAATCACAGAGTAGAATACCTTAGCAATCATCTGGTCTAACTTTTAAACCTATGCAGCAGTTCTGTCTATAATAATTTTCTGTATTGTTCTCCATCTTTGTACATATAAAGACGTAAGAGGAAAACCATCCCATTGTCAGAAAGTGTTTTAGTCCTCTAGTGATGGTGTAACAGAAATACCACAAGTAGATGGCTTCAATAAACGGAAGTTTATTTTCTCACAGTCCAGTAGGCTAAAAGTCTGAATTCAGGGCGTCAGCTCCAAGAGAAGGCTTTCTCTCTCTGTCGGTTCTGGGGGAAGGTCCTTGCCATCAGTCTTCCCTTGGTCTAGGAACTTTTCCAGCACAGGGACCTTGGGTCCAAAGGACGTGCTTTGCTCCTGGTGCTGTTTTCTTGGTGCTGTGAGGTCCCCATGTCTCTCTGCTTGCTTCTCTCTTTTGTATCTCAAATGAGATTGTCTTAAGATCTTGTAGATCTCATCCACATCACTGCTGCTGATCCATTTCATTAATCATAGTGACAGGACTTAGAACACATAGTAAAATCACATCAGATGACAAAATGGTGGACAATCACACAATACTGGGAATCATGGCATAGCCAAATTCTTACACATATTTTTTGGGGACACAGTTCAGTCTATGACAGAAAGTAACACATGGGTTCATTTAGATGTCTTGTTTTTTTTTTTCCTTCTTCATTAACCCATTGCCATCGAGTCAATTCCGATTCGTAGTGACCCTGTAGGACAGAGAAGAACTGCTCCATAGGGTTTCCAAGGCTGTAATCTTTACGGAAGCAGATGCCACATCTTTCTCCTGCAAAGCACGTGGTGGGTTCAAACTCCCAACCTTTCAGTTAGCAGCCAAGCACTTTAACCAGTGAGCCATCAGAGCTCTTTTCCTTCAGTAAAAAAACCCGTTGCCGTTGAGTTGATGCCAATTCGTAGCATACCCTATAGGACAGACTAGAACTGCCCCATAGGGTTTCCAGGGAGCGCCTGGTGGATTCGAACTGCTGACCTTTTGATTAGCAGTAGAACTGTTAACCACTGTGCCACCAGTTTCCTTCATTAGGTTTATTTTGTTTGTTTTAAGTTTATTTGTATTATATAAGTAAAACATCATTATTTCAATTTTCTGGCTGTAAGATTGTTATTTATCTTTAACAGATTGAGTTGGAGTTGGTTTTCCTAAAGTCCAGGAAACTTAATTTTTCATTATTATTACAATGTTAAAGACAACACAGTCCTTTTAAGGCTGCCATTATTTCCTCATCACTTGCTAGTTCTCTTCTTTAGCTTCCCTGGTCTTCTGCACTGGTCTAGTGGTTCTTGTCTGAATTTGTTCATCCTCCTATCATTCATTTTTCTCTTTTATCCTAATTGAATTCCACCTCAGGTTGGTCATTGGAATTCTGGGTGGAGTTTCTTTTAATTTTTCAACTCTCTCAGGTAATTTATGCAGTTTTTACCCGTGTCACTTTGTAGATGTTTCATAGTCCACTGTATCAATGCCTGACCTTCTCCAGAGTTCCAGTAAATTAAATAACTGATTATTATTTCCATTTGTCTCAGTTGCCTTTACCTCAAATAAATGTATCCAAACTTTAACTCATCTTTTTCTTAGGAGGGACTTTCCTTCTTCACCTTAGGATTTTTCTCTCAGTATTTTTTCAGGCACTTACATGAAAATAAACAGTTTGACTCTTTCTTTTTCTACTTCCTGTTCTATGTCATTCCCTATATTCAGAAAATCACCAGGTCTCTTTGGTTCTTTGTAATTTTTTTTTTTTTTTTTTTAAATCTGTTTCGGCCAACCTAGCTCATTCTTTTACCTCTCATTTACATTATTGCAATAGCCTCATAACCAGTTTCTCTTGTCTTCACCCTTTGGCTTTTGAGGTCTCTGGGTATACAGTTTTCATCCTAGAGTACATTTTATCATGCTAAATCCATGCTCAAAACCCTTCAGTGTTCAGTGTCCTGTGATTTTCCATTATCCTGCATTAACCCTGTGTTCGTCCATGTCCCTTGAAGAAGCAGTTCTTAGTGTTTTACCCTGACTCACTGTTTTATCCATATGAGTGCTTTTTTCATTTCCTTGTCCTCGAGGTCCAAGACTAGTCACTATTGTGATACCCACTTGTAATCTCTCTGAGCAGAGGCTTTTCTCACCTGTGCGTGCAGTAATATTCTTTATATTGTTTTTTCGTTTCTCACATGGGCGTTTTATTTTGTATTCTCCACAACATCTATTGCCTTTCTAGCATAGTTTCCTGTATAAAATAGATTTTCAGGGAAGTGTCCTACATGTTTTTAGGAAGTCATTTGAGTAGGTTTTTAACAGCTTTGTTGAAATATAATTTACATATCATAAAATTTACCTGTTTTGGATACAAGGAAAAGATTAGTCCAAAGGACTAATTGTCCACAGCTACCAAGGCCTCCACCGGACTGAGTCGAGTACAGCTAGATGGTGCCCGGCTACCACTGCTGACTGCTCTGACCAGGATCACAACAGAGGGTTCTGGACAGAGCTGGAGAAGGATGTAGAGCATAATTCT